TTTTTTATTTTTAGGCAAGAGTCTACAGGGTGTCCAGGGTCTCATTACTAGATCATACTCGCAGTGATCTGCCTGTTTATAGCCTCCCAAGAGCTGGGATTATAGGTGCGCGCCACCACAGCGCACCCTGGAGGTGGGGCCTGCATGGCAGTCCCAGGGATCGAACCCCTGGCCCCTGCACCTGCTTGTAGGCACTTTAATCTGCTGCGCTATTTGGCCAGCCCTAACACATATGTTTATACATAATTCTTCCCTCAGTAACATCTTGCCTTATAGGAACTCTTGCCTATTTCACTCTTGGCACTCTAAAAGAGAAGAGGCCTGGTACCCTAGTGGGTTTTGGTATATTTCTTGAGAAATTAAAATTTCTCTGTGGTCTAGTAATAGCAGGGAAGCTGGGCTGATCCACATCTGAGCCTACCTTTACTTAGAGTCTGTGGGCTGTGACTTGAGTCTATTTTGAATGCTTAAGGATAAAGACATATATATATATATTTGAACTCAGACCCTTGTGCTTGCCAGGGAAGTGCTTATTCTACTGAGCCATCTCCCCAGCCCCAAGACATTACAATATTGAGAGAAAAGAAAGGTGTTTATAATTAGATTTATAATTAGATTTTTTTTGTGTGTGTGTGTAGTACTGGGGATTGAACTCAGGACCTTGCACTTGCCAGATAGACAGTTATACCACTGAGCTATATCCCCAGCCCTATAATTAGATTTTTGGGGTAGGGAAGAAAATGGTGGACTTAATGCTACATCCAAAAGAATTGTCTTTATCTTCTATAAGAAAAGCTGGGGCCAGTGAGATGTGTCAATAGAATAAGCGCTTGCCTGGCAAGCACAAAGGCCTGAGTTCAATCCCTGGTTCTGCCAAAAAAAAAAAAAAAAAAAAAAAAGGCTGAGTGCGATGCAATATTTTTACTTCATTTTTTAATTGAGATATAAAATCTTCTGGTAAAAGGTACTAAACTGAATTATACAGTTAGAGAAGTTCATGCATGTATGCCATTGTAATAACCTGGAGGAAAGTAGAGTATTTCTAGCATTTCAGGATGTTCACTCATGTCCTTTGTGTGTGTGTGTATTTGCTATTGGTAAAATAGTTGTTCAGTGATGACTGACAGTAAGGAAAGACAGGCTGATGTCAGACTGCCTTGCGATTACTGGCCTCTCCATTTGGTCTAGAGGACAACCTAATCTGAGGGTTGTTTTCACATGGACATATAGATTCCCTGAAATAAAAATCATCAGCATGTGTCTACCCAATATTGACTGATCAAGCTGATTCTTTTCCTCAGTCTCTGTATCTTATCCTTTATCTCTTTATTCCCTTGTTTCTGCCCTTCTTTTCTCAGTGACCCACCCAACCCACCTCTGAAGTTTTCAGGTAGTCCCTTAGGCTGTGATGGCCACCACCTGTAATCCCAGTATGAGAGGCTGAGACTAAAGGATCATTGTGAACGCAGCCTCAACTACATAGCAAGACCTTGTCTCATTAAAAGAAGAAAGAACAGAATGAACACACAGCCCAGTAGAGAAGCTGTTTTCTCCATAGACTGATCAGGCTGGTTCTAGAAGAATCTCTGGGCCTAGACTTGAATTTGCTTTGGATAGTAGTTGCCTTAGAGGGAACTACTAGGGTCTGAACATAGTTTGAAAGTTCTTGGTGTGATAGAGTTTAAGTGGAGCCTGGCAAGGTTGCAAGTGCCTGTAATCCTACTACTATGAGAGGCTGAGACAGGAGGATTGAAAATGCAAGCCCAGCCTGGGAAATTTAGCAAGTTATTGAGACCCTGTCTCAAAAGAAAAAGTGAGCTGGGGATATAGTTCATTGTAGAGTGCCTGAGATCAATCCATACTTCCATCCCTAAAAGAAAAAAAAGAACTATCCAAAAAAAGAAAAAGGAAAAGAAAAGAAAGAGAAGAAATGGAGTTTGTAGCCCATGTAGTTGTGGGCTCATATAACTGGCTACTGGCTACATAAGTCAGTTGTCATGTAATTTCACCAAACTTCCATTTTCTTTTCTGTAAAATAAAAAAAGAGTTCCTCTCTCATGGGGTTATTATGAAGATTAAAACATAATTTGAGCCAGGCATGGTGGTATACTTCTAATCCCAGGCATTCCAGAGCATAAAGCAAGGGGAACGGAAGTTCAGGGCCCATGGGAATTTAGTAACCATTCTCTGAAAAAGGGCTGGGGCTGGGGGCAGGATAGTTCAGCAGTCTTAGTGCCTGTGTAGGCAAGTTCAAGGACTTGAGTTCAATCCCTGGTACCACTTGCTGTGTAGGCCACCAAAACCAGGCATGGTGGTACATGCCTGTAATCCCAGTGCTGGGGAGGCTGAAACAGGAGGATTGCTATGAGTCCGAGCTGCATAGTGAGACCCTGTACCAAATACATTTAAAAAAAGGGGCAGAGGCTGAGGATATAGCTTAGTAATACAGCACCCTTGGGTTTGTTCCATGGTTCAAAAAAATAATAATAATAGGGGCTCGGTGTGGTGGCTCATGCCTGTAATCCCAGCATTTGAGAGGTTTAGGCAAGACAGGCATGAGTTCAAGGCCCAGCAGTCTTGACATAGCATAGACCTTGTCAAGAAACAGGAAAGGAGGGCGGGGGATTTAGCTCGGCATTCTAAGTACCTGCCTGGCAAGCCCAAGGACTTGTGTTTGATCCCCAGTACTGCATGCTATGCTGCACCAGAATTCCAGGCGCACTGAGCTGGCCTCCGAAACTGGGCATAGTGATGTGTGCCTATAATCCCTGCCCTGGAGAGCTGATACAGGAGGATCACTATGAGTCTGAGCTGTGTAGTGAGACCCTGTACCAAATGAATGAATAAAATTTTTTTTTAAAGGAAGAAAACAATATTCTGTGAAATACTGTTCAGTAAATAGTTCATGATTTTGGGGCTGGGGAGATGGCTCAGTGGAATAAGCGCTTCCCTGGCAAGTGCAAGGGCCTGAGTTCAATCCCCGGTTCCTCGAGAAAAAAAAAAAAAAGTTCATGATTTCATGAAACCAAAGGAACAGTGATACTTATAAGCCATTTGTGTGCTCTGACCTGAAATGTTAACGATTAAGGGGTAGTCATGAGGCTCTTTAGTGACATCTGGAATTTATCCCACCTATTTTACCATAGGTTGAATCGGTTACCATACCAACTGTCTCTTACATTAATTTCCTTCTCTCTCCCCTCCCTCTCCCTCCTCTCCTCTCCTGTCCTTTTTCTTTCTTTCTCCCCCTCCCCACCCCTCCCCTCCCCTTCTCTCTTGTTTTTTGAGACAGGGTCTCTTTATGTAGTCCAGGCTGCCCTTGAACTCAGTGTGTAGCCGGGTTGTCCTTGAACTTGCAGTGATACTCTTGCCTCAGCCTCCTAAGTGGTGCGATCACAGATTGAGTTTCATGTAAGGATAGAGGTATCCTTTATTGTTAAAAGTTGACCTTTGCTGGTCATGGTCATGCATGCCTGTAATACTAGCACTTTAGAGGCTGAGGCAGGGGATCACCATGAGTCCAAGGCCAGTCTTGGCTGCATAGTGAGTTCAAGGCCAGCCTGAACTACATAGACATTATCTCAAAAGACAAAAAATTCCATTTTTTTATATTTTACTTTTGTCTTTTTGAGACAAGGTCTTGCTGTGCAGTTCAGGCTGGCCTTGAGCTCACTTTGTAGCTCATCTCCAACTCAGCAATCCTGCCTCAGCCTTCCAAGTGCTGAGGTGACATATGTGTGCCACCATCCCCAGCCCTTTAGGTTGTTTTAAGACAGTGTCTCCCTATGCAGTTCAGGCTGCCCTCATTGTGCTAAGTACTGCCATCATGCCCAGCACAAGAAACTTTTTATAAAGAGAAGTGAAAATGTCCGGAATAAAGCTTTGCAGGGAAAAAGAAAAAAAAAAAAAAGTGAAAATGTGATAATTGATTGGTTGATTATTTTGGTCCCTTTTTTGATATTTTTGAACCTGCAGACTAAGCTGGGGATAGGCCTTTTGGTAGATGTGGAAGAAGGTAGGGGCTTGCAGGGTGTTGAACTGATCTAGAGTTTTGGTCTATACCTGCCCAAATGGAAAAGACTTGCGTGGGTTAGAAAGTAAAGGAACACTTGTAGTTTCATGTTCTGGGGCCAAAAGAAAGTGTGCTGACCATGATTTCTTTCTGCAGCGCAAATAGTAGCAGGTGAGATTGTTTGTGCAAGAATGAGCTGGGAGATTGTCCCGTTATCCTATGGCAGGGAAGGGTGAGGTGTCCTCTTGGCTGGGCCCCGTGGGCCAGCCAGGAAACTGAATGTAGTAGGGACAGAGAGAAAGGATACTAGTTCACTTAGCCTGGCATTACTTAAATAGAGATATTGCCTATTCCAAAAAGTATAGTGTGTAGGGTCCTTTCTACTCTTTGTCTCTTTTTATGCTAAAAATACTTCTGCCTTCTACCTGTATTAACCACAAGTAATCAGTCTGGTGGCTGGGGTGGGGAGGTAGTGAATAGTAATTTCTGTAACATCAACCTTACAGCAATCACGTGGGCAGGGTATGCCAGAGAGAATGGAGTTTTTCAGCTTATATTCTTAACTGGAAATAAAGTACTCTCCTTATTCTCCTCCTGCAGGTCGGTGAGCTGGTAAAGGTTACGAAGATTAATGTGAGTGGTCAGTGGGAAGGGGAGTGTAATGGCAAACGAGGTCACTTCCCATTCACACATGTCCGTCTGCTGGATCAACAGAATCCTGATGAGGACTTCAGCTGAGTATAGCTCAACAGTTTTGCTGACAGATGGGAACAATCTTTTTTTTTTTTTTTTTTCTATTGCCATCTATACAATTTTCTACAGGTGTCAAAAGCAGTCTAGTTAAATATTTAGCATTCTGTTGTTACCTGTGATCCTTTTTAGAGTGAACTACTCCATTCTGATTTCATGTATTCAGGGTACGAAACTGGAGGGGTTGTGTGGTTAACTTCTGAGTTGGCAATTTTTAGTGTTGGAAACCATGCTTGTATCAGAAGGGATAGGTGATTTGCCTCCTTTCTCAAGCAATGCAGATCAACCTGTGGAAAACGGATGGACAGGAGAGGACTGTTACACACTGCTTACCCTGATTTGCCCAGTGGTTTTGTTTTCATTCTGAAACCATACTATCAAATGGCAGTAGACTGTTCCCTTCCACCCCCATGAGGTAATCATGCACCGTGTGAATAGTGCCCAGTGGGATTGCTTTTGCATTTATGGAACATGACCATTGTATGACTCATTCTGACATTTCAAATCCTGAGAATTCTGAGAACACTACTAGAGGCATTTGTCTTCCTTCCCAGTCAGTGCTTCATATTCTTTCTTGGGATTCTTTGAACCTTTGTCATTCTTTTCCCTCAGACCTACAAGCAGGCTGATCCTTAAGATAGTGTATATTTTCATTCCAGATGATAAACAGGATGTGCCGAGCACTTTATTCAGTGCATAGCTTTAAGCCAGTATTGGATTCACTATGTAGACAGCCAACCTTCCAGCTCTCTGCCTTCCCCCAAGGGGTCAGTAGTGGACTCACGCTGCTGCAGCAGCTGATGAGACTCGTGGCTGAAGGGATCCAGCAGGGCCGTTTCTCCTGAGTGAGTGCCATTATCCTAGTAGGATACTCAGAATTCTCAGACTCTACTTGGAGTGGAAGGACCAATGACTCATAATATTCCATGGAAGATTTCAGGGTCAAATTCTGCCCTCTGCATTATGTTCAACTTGTATAAAAAGCAAGTTAGAATTACATGAGTTTGGGCATAGGCTTAGTGTTTTGAAAAATTTGTGAACCAATCATGAATTGCATAGGTAGTATTCATTTTACATGGCCAGAATAGTGAAGTACATTATACACTTCCTTCATTTTTGGCTCATTTTCTTTATATTCAGGATTAGATTATAAACCTTTTTAAGTAAAAAATGGTTTATTTGGGGTCAGAAGCTCCAAAGAATAGATCTATGAGACCAAAAATGATCTTGGCTATTTAGGCTACATCATGAAATGCACAGAAGTTAGTTTCCAGTTGATAAAAGGCACTTACTGGTCTCTGATGTGGTGTGATAAATAGAATTTAACTTTGCTTTGGACCTCATTTTTAAAAAATAACCTAACTTTTTCATTGTCCTACGTAAGTTAATACACATTTGCATTCTCTGAACACACACCGAATCGTGGTATTGTAATGACTAGTACATTGCCTGGCCCACAACCAGTGTGCAGATGTGTGTGAGTGGATGGGGGAGTGCAGACGCTTGTTACTTGGCCCAGGGAAGCCAACTGGCACAGGGTTACATACATCATCACAGGCGATTTGCGAGTTGACGCTAATTTATTTTTACCTCACACTAAGGTAATGCTTGATAAAACATTAGTACTCAACCTTTAAAATGCTAGCACAGTGCAATGCACATAGTGGGTGCTGAATAATGTTGAATGAACAGATTTGCAATGTTTAATGGAATTCCATCTGACTACTTTGTTAAATTTTCAGTTAGCATAGATACTGTAAAATCCAAGTATACATTAAATCCTGTTTTCCTGAAAGTAAGTCATCTAAAATATTTGTAGAAGACCATTGTTCAGCTGGTTTGAATGTTTGTATTTTCCTTTGCCTTTGACTTCATTGGCTTATAATGTCTGTTTTCATAAGTAATATTAGTAGAACATGCAGCTCTACCCAAATCATAAGAATTTCTCAGTTCTGCTTGGATTGTCCAGAGGCATCATATGAATTGTTGGGCTGGATTTGGCTGGTGTGGCAGATATTGGACCTCAAGAAATCAAAGGACTTCTTACAAATACCTTCCAAAAGTGCAAATGATAAAGTACTATTCAAATGCATATGTACATTGTCACAGAGTAAAGTGAAATGAAATTGGCTGCTATATTTTATATAATCATTTCAGCAAAAGCCCATTTTTTTGAATACTAATATTTGACGTGTTAATTCTTATTAATTTGTTGGGTTTGTTTATTGTTAATAATGCAAATAGATAATTTTTAATTATCCACAAGTAACGTTTCACTATTAATGGTTTGAAATGGGTGATAAGCAAACCAATTTGAAATAAAATATGAACAATGTGCCATTGTATTATAACACTATACACTTTCTTGACAGTTAAATTTTAAAAGATGTTTTTTGTAGCATGTATTGTATATGTTTATAGTATATGTAGTAAATAAAAATATGGCCAAATGTTGGCTTGGTGATCATTTGGAGGAAGTAATCCTTGCGTATTTGTCACAGAAGAAGTGTCTTTTTCTTAGGGAATAGGAGATATGTGCCCTCACTACTCCATGAAGAATCAAGTAAACAGTTATATGTATTGTGGATGGTTATTAATGTGGGATTAAGTCAGGCATAGTAGTACATGCCTATAATCTCAGCACTCAGGAGCTTTAGGCAGGAGAGTCGCTGTGAGTTTGAAGCCAGCCTGGGCTACAAAATGAGTTCAAATCTGGAAAACCTACAAAATGAATGTTTTGTGGTATATCTAGAAATAATACAGAAAATATTGCTGTTATTTTTGGTGAAGGAAATTTTGTATAGTTTATTTCAATTTAAATAAAATATGAATTTTGTTTAAAAAAAAAAAAACAAGGGGCCGGGGAGATGGCTCAGTGGAATAAGCGCTTCCCTGGCAAGCGCAAGGGCCGGAGTTCAATCCCCAGTTCCGCAAAAAAAAAATAATAATAATTAAAAAATAAAAAAATATAAAAAATAAAACAAAAAACAAAATGAGTTCAAAGCCAGTCTGAATTACATAATGAGACCCTGTCTCAAAACAAAATCAAACAAAAGACTATCTCAAAAAACTAAAAATTGGGGCTGGGGAAATGGCTCGGTAGAATAAGCGCTTGCCTGGCAAGCACAAGGGCCTGAGTTCAAAACCCTGGTTCCACCAAAAAAAAACCCCAAAACTAAAAATTATGAAAAAAGGGATTAATCACTGCTAATTTTAAAGGGTCTCCAGAAATTATGAAATAATGAGGGGACGGGGAGATGGCTCAGTAGGATAAGTGCTTGACTGGCAAATGCAAGGATCTGAGTTCAATCCCCAGTTCTGCAAAAAAAAAAAAAAAGAAAGAAAGAAAGAATGATTTAAGGCAAGCATAAAGAAAATCATTGTGTGGGACTGGGGAGATGGCTCAGTGGAATAAGCACTTCCCTGGCAAGCGCCGTGGGCCTGAGTTCAATCCCTGGTTCCGCAAAAAAAAAAAAAAACAAAAAACATTGTGTATATAAAAATCGGGAAACTGAAATTTTCTGGAAAGACATCAGACTTGTCCAGAAACAGATCCATATGGGCATTAAAAAGTAAGGATGAGGGGCCAGGGAGATGGCTCAGTGGAATAAGTGCTTCCCTGACAAGCTCAAGGGCCTGAGTTCAATCCCCAGTTCCACAAAAAAAAAAAAAAAAAGTAAGGATGTAGTAGGAGATTTGTAGAGAGAAAGACTTGGAAGTTAGACGATAGGTCTTTGAAATCTTTTTGTAGCTAAACAGTTAATTTCTTTTTTTATATAAGCAGCATATGCTCAGGGTAGGTAATACTGGAAATGATAACCCAAAAAGTAAACATGGTATTCTTACTATTTTAAGACACATGTAAAGACAGACGTGTGTGTGTGTGTGTGTGTGCGCGTACACACATTAACAGTTTATGTCATACACTCTAGTTTGTAGCCTGACTTTTTTTTTTTTTTGGTCAGGCAGAGTTTTTTGTTTTTTTAATTTATTTATTTATTTGTGTGTATGTGTGTGTGTGGCCAGCTCAGCCCACCAGGGGGCAGGGCTGGCTGGCATGTGGTACTGGAGGATAGAACCGTGGTCCCTGTGCTTTGCTAAGCTTGTTCTAAGTAGGTGCTTTAGACCACTGAGCCATCTCACCAGCCCTCAGGCAGAGTCTTGCTGTGTAATACTGGCTGGTCTGTAGTTCTGGGTTGGCCTAGAACTCCGTGATCCTCCTGCCTCAGCCACCACTAATGCTGCTCTTTGTATGTTACACAGTATTATACCTTAGATTCAAAAATACAATTATCGGGGCTGGAGAGATGGCTCAGTGGTCTAAAGCACCTACTTAGAACAAGCTTGGCAAAGCATTGGGGACCGCGGTTCAATCCCCCAGCACCACATGCCAGCCAGCCCGCCCCCTGGTGGGCTGAGCTGGCCACACACC